TATAAGTTCTCAGGTACTTTGTTCACCCAAGGGACCTTATGCGAAAATCCTTCACAAATTTCTTGCTACAGACTTAGAAATTTCCTTAGATTTTTTGAAATACCGTTCTTGTTCTAGGTTTGCTCGGTAACACGATTGTAGACTCTTTTTCTTGTATTTACCATTCCAAGAATGCATCGACAACGATGTTGAACAGTAATTTTTTAGGAAAATATTCACAATGCACTAATTACCATCTTAAGGATGAAACTTCCAACTTGAAATCATTCGCCAATCGCCCGATTATGGAGAAAATTTCGATAGAAAGGGTAATTTAACCCATGAAAAATTAGGGCAAATCAATATACCGCGATTGCGGTTATTACTAGAGCTTTAACTCACGGTCCTAACCATCTAAATCTCTAAAATATCAAATTGGAGATCAGTTTCTAAATGCTGTCATAAATTCAAGAAATCTTTTCGCGTAGTTTTGAGTACTTGGAGTAGACTTGTAGTAGCCTTGACTGTGTTCTGTTCTGTTGTAAAGTACAAGAGAAGAACTTCTCGAGTAAGAGTTTGTTAGAGTTTGCAGTCATTTGGCGTACTTAAGCGTAGTTTCCCGTAGATGATTTGGATTTGGATTTAATTTCATAAAAACTACTCAAATTTAAGGTACAAAAGCACAATCCACAAGTAGAAAAACGTCCAGTATTACAACCATACAATAAGGTGCCTCATACATCGCCATGAATCTTAGGTATCCATGATCTGTTTTCAGTACGAAGCTTTCTAAACAACTAGAGCGAGTTTTTTTTCTTTTTTATAACGAAATATTCTCAAACTAACAAAAATTCACCGACTTTTGTTTTATTGATAAGCTTAAAAATTCTCAGCGGTGGAAAGAGATCTCTGAACGAATTCTTAACAAATGTCTTGATCTGATTGTTTGCATCCTCTCTTGCTATGATTTATTGCATATTTTTCCTTATAAGCACTATTTGATTAAAAAAAAAAAAAACAACTGAATGAGCGTTGATAAACAAGGTACCATTTCCTTGTCTTTCTTAATCTCGGAGTACTCTTTTTTCAAATTTTCAATTTCTCAAGACCTAGCTAAATACGGTATCCCACCCGCACGTTATCAACTCACCATTGTCTTGAATTTGTCCTTTTGTCCTTGATCAGCCAGACTTTTCCTGGATTTTGACATCTATTGAGCCCTCCAATCTTTTTTCTTGATTCTCCCTTTATTTGGCCATCCTAGTACAGAAGAAATATTTCGTGAATACTTTTGAATGAGGCGAGGGTGGCTGGGTCTTAAAGCAGAATGGCTTATAACTAGGCAGTGCTTCTCCCTGGAATCTGTAACACCAAGCCACCAGGAGAATGCTACCTTCTCTTGGGGGATGATAGTCTATTGAATGTAACCGTCTGCCACTATTTTTGCAGTTTTTCTCGGACATTTTGCTGGACTCGAAAAAACGACAGAAATCGAGCTCATGGATGTACCAGATTCTTCCCGTAAACCACCTCATAGGTAGCAGTAATAACATTTGTCAACGCTCATTGACCTTTCAAGGATTTGCCCTCCGTATATAACATTCCGTATCTACCATTCAGTATCTATGGGCTCTATAATCTTTGTACTCCTATCTGTATGGAGTTATCGCGTCACAGATGCCTCCAAATTAGGTAAAGTGGATTAAAAATGATGGGATTATGCCTTCATGGTCTGAGAAATGGAAGATGTAGGTCAAAGACCATTTGCGGTACTGTTTCAACACTCTCCTTGATTCTATCAGTCAGTTACTGTAGACTGGCCTCAGAGAGTACCATAGTAGTTTCCCTTGAGGGAGATAACACAAATCTCTGTAGGCAAAACTAACCTTGCCAGATAACAGAATGGAATATTATGAACACAACATAATTACCTAAAATTTGAGGAAGGCCCTAACCTTGTGGCATCTTCTTGTCCTGGCAAGTCGTCACGTGACTTTAATACGGTTCATTTGCTCTCATCTGTAGTGAAAAGGGACAGTTATGATCATAAACAGGTGACTTTTCGACGGCTACTTATATAAATTAACATTTATCCCATAATATTTAAAGTTTTAGTTTTAGAATGAGAACAAGGTGTTTGAGACAACAACTTAATCCCTTGGACTGATGTACGAGACTGGCATATGTTACGGTATTTAAAGATAGGTTGAAAACAGCTTACCAGTCAAAGTCCATCTAGCCTTTGTACGAGCATTCATTATTAGCGCTGCAGGATATGCGTTTCTCCACCCATAGGAATATTTAAGACGAGGCGAGGAGAAGTTTGCCGGAGGTCTGGCACTATTTATTAGTCCCAGACCCCTTACAGACCTCTCGCCGACTTGCATTACTCAAGTCCTCATTCTTTCCCGCGGGCGAAGAAACTCTCGTGCTGATAGGTGATAGGATAATAGTAAGAGCTAATAATAGTAATGAGAGCTAATAATGATGATGATAATAATAATAATAATAATAATAAGAGCTAATAGCAATGATAAGAGCTCATGCTGTTCTCTGCAGAGTGAAGTGAAAAAGGATATTGCTACTCCAACTGGGTAAGATGCTAGTCTTGTACGAAAAATACACTCCGAGATGGAGAAGCACTTATGATATTCCCAGAATAACCATCTTTCATGATAATTGCGTTAATGATGTGCCCTCAAACATACCGCAGACTTGGAAACCCCCACCAACCCCAACCTTCATACGTTCCATTGTCAGGATGTACGCTTCTCCTTCCTTCCTGCTTCTAAGATAGTAAATAATGAGAGATCAGATCTTTACTGTCTGTAATCAGTCTGCTAAAATCAGCCAAGATAGTTCCAGAACAGTTTCCTTTATTGAGTTAAAGACAAAACAAATATCTTTATGTACAACCAGGAGCCCATTACTCCTGGTACAACTCGTTTTCCAAGATAATAGCAAGGAACGCTAATTACCTAAGTTTTGAGGACAATCGTCATCTTGGAGTGTCTTTCTGTCCGAATGATATTTCACGTGATCCGTTGTCTAACAAGGAAAATATTATGATGATCAGATACAGGTTAATCATTAACTGCTACCTATACAAATTTACATCTATCCTTGTATTCACCTTATAGTCATCATAATAATTGCAGGAGCTGACCTAGGACATGAAACCATTGTCTCTATTCGATTCATTTAAAAATTTAACTATTAAATTTTATCAGTAACCAAAACCACACACCATCATTCTGGTGCTTAGAAAGGGAGGACACCTCGCTGCTGAAATGATTGGGGTGGAGTAGGATGGGGGTAGTAATGATACCCTGGAAAAGGTATTACAAAATAACTGAGATATCACTCCCGATCTGATTTGTCAAAAAACCTATTGTTGAATCTACATACAGCCATGTATGTTGAGATAAAAGACTAGACTTTATCAATTCGCGGGTGATATGATCTCCAGGAAGTCACTTCGTCAGTAAGCTTTTAGAAAGTGCGGTGTTCTGGTCGAATCATTTCTGATTTGCTATTAAGCAGGGTGTTTCAAACCCAAGTGTAAATCCCCATGAAAGCTATATTCCGGCCTAAGCTGGGTCACTAGGCAGGTTGAAAACTACCTTTTCGTAAACCTAATCAGTGTATTTGATGGAATCTCTACTGTAATCTTCCACAAGTAAATCTTTCACAGGTTAGATTCTAACACACTTATATTTCCTTCGGTCTAATCACGATTCTTTTGTAAAACAAAAAATGAGTAAATCCAGAATACTCTTGGAGGTTAGACTATGAAGGGTAAATTTACCCTAAAACCTTTCTTGATTTTCAAATTTGAAGCAGAGAAGTTTATAATGCTACTGGCTGTGTTTTTTACGAAAAATTGCCCTTCACTGAATTAACTGAAATTTTTTTTCCTAATTAACCTCTGCTAAAAGCTGCAACATGCAAAATGCCGTCAGTTTATTCAAATAAGTCTAACATACGAGCGGTATCCATATTCAATTCATACTCAATGAGACAGACCCAATGTCCCTCGAAGAATGTAATTTTTTACAATCATTTGGAAGCATTATTAAAACATGTCACACGATGAAAACAGAATTGTTTTGTAAATACCTGTTGGAAAGGGTTATAACGAGTCCATTTGTCCACTTCTTCGTCGTTGGAATCCACGTGTTCTTGTCCAGGAAAGCGACGTTAAGTTCAACCAAAGCAAAACAACACCAAAATCTTGTTCACCAGCGTACCACTGGACAACCACTACGAACGTATGAGTGATACAAAACATCTCCATTGTGTATTTGGCGAATTGCCGGATTAGTTGTATGTTCGGCCATCTTGTCATTTGAATGTCATTTCAAACCCTCGCGAGGTGCCAAAAAATTAAGAATAAATTAAAATTTATGTTATATCTGAAATTCAAATGAAGTCAGCTCCTGGTGTTTTAGAACGGAATAAGAGGGCGTTGTTTATTCGACTTAGCCATCATGGAAATAGGGGAAGCGTGAAGTTAAAAAATAAAACTCACAAGAAGACATTCTGGTCATAAGCAAGAGAGATTTAAATTCTTCTTCTCATACAAAAATTTTAGCAAAAACCACGGCGACATTAAATTTTCTCACTTTACACTACAGAAATGTTGACAGCGATAATCTTAGCCAAGAGAAGCAGAACTGATGCCTAAATTGTTAAAGTTAATTAACTGCATTGAAGGAAAGCCCTCTTTAACACCACGGACAACAATTAATGGGCTATAACAATGATTTTTTTTTATACACGATTTAACTTTCTAAGAGTTTTAATTTCTAACTCTGGTTTTGACATTCTTGTGCCCAGATTTAGCGCCTTGACACCATTATGATGTCAAGAAGTGACGACACAAACACGTTACCATGCAACTAGTCATAAACAAATCGAAACTTTGTTTCACCACAAGAGCTCGGTTCTTATTGAAGCAAAGTGAAGAGGGCTGATTTTTCGTATTTATCGAATGGTCCTAGTGAACATATCAATACAAAATGAACAAAAACATCTCAGGTGACGAGGAGTCCGTGAAAAAATTCTTTTCTGCGAGAATATTCGACAAAGAAGTTAGTGTCAGGGATCGTTCTGCTCTCTGGCAGGTATCACATAGGGCACAGATCATGGCCATTGAGGTGGGCGTTTCCCAATCATTAGGACTTTATTTTCTTTTAAGTCATACGTTTAATACATTTAAGTTAGAATTTGCTGTCGGAAAGGCATTAAGAAAAAAGCTTTTTTAAGTGATGGCAAGAAGATTTTATTCATTCTATAAGCTGTGAAATCGGTCATAGTTCAATTCAAATCGTAACTCGGTTTCGTCCGAACTAAGCTCAGTTTTAAGCTTGGTCGACACTGAAGAAACATTTAAACCAATTGGAAGTTTTTTGCAGGAAAGATGTTTAAGTAACTGAGTTGAAAAATTTCTTCATAAAGAGATGAAAAAGCGCGCGCGACCAAAATTCTTAGATTATGACGTCACTCTTTGACATTCCTCTATCTTTCCGCTGTATGTTGATTATGTATTGTGTCCTCAACTTTGATGATTTTGAAAGTTTTGTTGTCCCTAATGGCATAATTTCTTTCAGTTTGCAAGAGAAAGGGAACAACTTACGCAAAAGATCACTTACCTTGAAACAGAGATTAACGGTTAGTACCATGAAGTCGAATAAAGTGACGCGGGATAACAGAGGTGCGCGCGCGGACTTGAGCCATTAAACTTTGGAGGGGCCGAAGTTTTACTGTATGTCCATGACAAAAAGCCCTTTACACCATCTCTCATCCCCCCGTTCATTGTTCCGTCATAAACAGTTCAGTTTTTTTTTTATTTTATAGTTCGCGATTTGACTCACTGATTCAAAACTAATTTCACTCATCTTTATTTCAAGTATCTTTAATATTTATTTGTATTTCAACAGCTAAGGAAAAGGAGATCGCCATCCTTCAGCAAACTCTCTATGGGAGAGACAAACAGATTACTGATCTCAAAGAAAAACTGTCCCAACCACAACAAAATGGGCAAAGAAATAATTTTGATTTTGCCAAGCAAATGGCAGCAATGGATAAAACGCTACAGGAGGCAAAGAAGAACATTGCCGAGCTTGAGGCTGGCGTAATTTTCAATGTCATGAAGAATGAAATGGAAGCAAAAGAATCCCAGAGCGAGCCACAGACATTTAATGGTGAGTATACAAGGCGCGATGGCGTCGTATCAACTGAGTGGTGACCACGCAGTTAATACGACTGCTTTGTTCTCATGAACTCAAATTATGTTCCAGGAATGCGTCAAGGGATAAAGGTGGGGAAAGAACGAGGGTCGGCATCACCTTTCACTAATTATAAGTCGTTGCTTTGAAAGGCCAAGGAAGACTACAAAATACTTAAAATTGCTGTTCACGCCATCAGCGAAATCATCATTTACCGGCCTGATTTAAAAGTACGTTTCCCATTTCACGAAAGACACAACTTAAAATTATGATATTCCATTCCCTAGATGAGAACAGGCACTTTAACCTAAAAACTTTTTAAGATTCGTTTCATAACGTTTGGGAACGTTTTCTTTCATGCACTTTAATTTTCATTTGTTTTGTTTTATTTTTCAACTAGGCAAAGATTACTTTGACCATCAACCATCATGGTTTGACACCCTATCAAACAACGGTGGATATCTTGAAGTGGAAAACTTTCCAGTAACAGCCAAAGAGATTGAAGCTATGAAGAATGTTAGATCAAATTCAAGGCCCTCCACTGAGTCAGCTAAAGGTGTGCAGAAGGAAACTTATAAAATAATATTTCACACATTCAACAGACCGCAGCGATAGCAGTGTAGTCTGATGAGTGACAAAACAGTAATACTCTTAAAATTGATCAGAAAAGTGTTCTTTCATGCACTGTTTGATTTTCATTTATCCTTTTTTAATTAGGCAAAGATTACTTTGACCATAAACCGTCATGGTTTGACACTCCATCAAAAAACGGTGGATGTCTTAAACTTGAAAACTTTCCAGTGACAGCAAAAGATCTTGAAGCGATGAAGAATTGCAAATCAAATTTAAAGCCTTCCACTGCAGCAGCGAAAGGTATGAAGAAGGAAACTTGTAAATTGTGAATACTTTACAGTCTACATCTGAGCGAAAGCAGCCTGTAGTGTGATGAGTAACAAAATAGTCAGACACTTAGAATTGTCAAGATACTTTTCAGCTTCAGTACCTCTGCAAAGTACCCTCCTCATTAAGTGCAACGAGGAACTCAATGATTTGACGATTATTAAGCAAAATGAAATCTTAGTGAAAACATGTTAACAATACTCTCTAAAGAGGAAAAATGCAAGGCGATTAAAATTCTACTTTTGCTTTACTAGTCTGAAAAAATGATTCAAGTAAAAATTGACATTTCATTTTCTTTCTTTCCCCTTTACCCAAGATTGTGGTGAGGCGAAATGTCAACAAACACGTGTCCCAAACGGCAGTTTTGTCCGAGCTGAAATGAAGAAAAACTGTCCACCACCGCAGAGAGAAGATGGATCCAAAAGCATCACCGGTTCAATTAGTCAGAAGGTCAACCCATTTTCTGGAAAGGCAAAACCTTTGGATCGACCAGCACAAAGTCCTTTGAATAAGAATAGGAGACCTCAAGTCGAGAAAAGCAGCCTGCAAGTACACCCGCGGAATATCTCCAATCTATCCTTTGCCAGGCAGAAAAATCTGCTTCTCGAGAAGGCTAAGGCTTTGGATCGACCAATACCCGATTGTGCAGCTGCCGACATCAGAGGAACTGAAGTTGTGATCAACACTCTACCAGTTCAGCTCAAACGTGTTCCATCCAACAGTATCACAGATTCCTCTGGTAACAAGGTGAACCCCTTTTCCCAGAGAGCTAAATTCGTTACAAAACCATCACACATCCCTGTTGCCAAGTTTGCTCAAACTCAAACTGTGATGATTGATGCTGCATTCAAGACTGGAGAGATCAGTCCGTGTTCGGAGAAAGCCAGAGGTATGGTCAGTCGAACGCCATTTGATAAATGAAGAGGAGGATTTAATTGTAAAGAGTGAGCTTCTTTAGCGGCTAAGGCAAATCTCGCCCAACTTCACTCAGTTTTGGTTCAGTAAGCTAAACATCCCAGGTATCCTCATATTCAAACGGAATTCTCACAGTCATGAACCAAACAGTTCATGCTATGATAGCTCTTCAAGAAATGTAGAGGCCAATCTATAATTTAATCTGTAATAAGACGAGGTTTTTAACAAAAATCTGTCTTGAATTTTATAGGGAGTCTGTATTCTTTCCATCGCCCATTACCTCCTACTCTGGCGAGCATCGTTCCCAGTGGATCTCAAATAGCTTTCGCTCACCAGCAGATCAAGCGACACTCCATTCCTCAAACTGGTAGGTAGCTAAAAATGAAATTCTGCAAACTGTCATAGGCCTGTCATAAACTCCCTGGGGTCAAACTTCGTAAGGGTTTGGGGGGAAGGGGGTTGATACCTTAAAGGTATGACATATATGTGGCATTGTAGAACTCGCTGGGAAACTCGCTCAGAAACAACCGAATTTGGGATATACAACTTCAGTCTGTCTCAGTTTTTTTTGTTTTTTCCACAGAACAAGGATTGCTGAAGAGAACTTTTAACAAGTGGTTCGGATCATACTTCTGAAGTGAGTGCATAGCTATTCAGTAAGTTAAGTACGACATACCTGTCAATAATTTGGCATTACCCTTACTAAAGTAATTTACTTTAGTTTGACTTAATACCGTGATATTGACCCAGATATTTTATTCATTCCACAGATCATCTTCAATGCGGATGACTCAACTTTAACTCTTTCTAATTCTTAACAATTTCAAAACCGGGCGTTG